GCGGCCACACGCCCGCAGGCTGTGATTGTGTTCGGTGCGCCTGTAAAGGACACCGCGAAGTTCATTACGCGGATGCTGACGGACAAGCGCACCGCTGGCGCCTACCTCCTTGCACCATCCTTGATGCAGAGCATGATTCTTTCAAGATGGCGGAAGGCCGTGGCAAGCGGTGTTCCCTTTATTCCCGGCCAGGTTATCACGACAGGTACGAACCCGCTTGCGAAGGACACGCGATACGAGGCGATCCAACGCTTCCAGAGTGTGATGCGGGGCTACCTTAAGAGCGATGAGAACACGGTGTACAATAGCACCGAGCACTTTCTGGAGGACGACGATGACGGTGAGACGATGGTTGCTGGCTGGATTGTCGGTGAGGTGCTGTGGGAGGCGCTGATCAGCCGTGTGTGGGTGAGGGACAGGGAGTCCTTCAGACGCTCGCTCTACAACCAACGCCGGTATTTGATCGATGATCTTGTGGTTGGTGACTACGGTGATAATTGCAGTGCTATTACTGCTTCACAGGGTGGTATCTGCCGCTGCAACAGAGGTGGGCGGACGGTCTACATGAAGCGGTTCGTGGAGGGGTATCGCGCTGAGAACATATTGAGTGGAGAGCTTACGATTCCACCTTTGAGGTGCTACACAGACGGTATGAGACTATTTGCGCCGCTGAATGGAGTTGTTCTTCTGATGACTGACGATGCCCATGCGGTGAGGGCAACGCTTGGCATGAAAACCGGTGCAGCTGCTGCGCTGGGTATCCAGCTGAACCTCCCGAATGCACATAGTATTACGCTTGATCTGATAAATACCTCAACAGCTGGTGCAATGTCGGCACTGAGGGATGAGCAGAAGAGAAAGCGCATCCATGCCGTGGGTGGTGTGGTGACAGAGGATATGCTCGATGACGAATCTGTGGTATTCATTGACGCGCAGGAGCTTCATCCACATCTGAACAAGTTTCGCCGGCACGTTATCCGCCTGTCACCGACGCTGGAGCAGGAGTTCTTTGTGCTTGCGCAGTACCTTGGCAGCACGACCGGCGCCAACGCCCACGCTGTGATCCGCAGCGACGAGGCGGCTGCAATAGCGGATGTGTTGCAGCGGTCCGTTGTGACGTTTGGCGGGTCGCTTGTGTCCTCCATGCTGCTGTCTGGCGGTGACGCGCTGGGGGACTACCTGCCGCGTAAGGGCGATGTGTTCGTCGTGGGCCTTGCTGCTGCCGATGTTGCTGTGATCGCGGGTCACCTGGCGGAGCACAGCGGTGTGCGTGTGCTTGTGCTGTTCACGGAGGTCTCCTTGTTCTACGATGAGTTTGTTGCTGCGTTCAATGGGAGTGCGGCTTCTGGGCGCCTTGTGTTCGCGACGAGCCTGCCGCACTGGGCAGACGAGAGCACGACATCTGAGACGGTGCAGCTGTTCCACGCTGCTGTGGAGGAGAAGGCGAAGTGGACCCCGTTGGCGCTGAGGAGCTTCGCTACTACACTGGTAATGCAAACTGTAGTGTCTCAGACTGGACGAATGAGTGCTGAATTATTGGTTGATTTCTTCTACAAGAATGTTGCCGTCGCTGTGGCTGATATGCTTTACGGACCCTTCAAGGACGGCAAGAGGTGCGGTGACCAGAATAACGTGAGCTCTGCTGAGTGTTCTAAGAACTACGGAGCGAGGCGTATTTCTGTGTGGTCGATGGCCCGCGTGCTGGACCCCGCAGTGCCTGAGCTGTTCCCCGCTGTGACGCCGTCGATGG